AATTGTCTGTAATGAAAAAAAAATAGTTCGTTGTTTTTACCAGTATAAGAGGTTTTAGATGTGTGATTTTCAACCTTATGACTACACACACTTACAAACTTTTTTTGTTTTTGATTTTTTCAGCTCAGACTTCCGACCTACGATAACATACTGGTTATTTCAAACAGTAACAGGTGAGTGGAGACGTTATCAGTGCCCGCTATCAGTAATATCTAGTATTATTTAGTTAAATTAAAACATTTATGTAAGAATACTTACGGACCCTCTGGTTGAGATTGCAATAAGAGGCAGATGACGCAACATCTACTCGTCTGCCCACAACTCCAGGTCCCATGTACAGCAGAAGACCTCGCTGTAGCCAGTGAACATGCGCAGAAATGGGTGGAAGACATTATGGTATAAGTGAACATGACAACAAGAAGTGATTTAGATGTCCAATATTTATTTTATTTTATTCACCACCACGGTAAACGTGTATTTATGTATACAGGCATTGAATATTATGTAGCATTTGATCGTACTAACTTATTCTTTTAAACTATCCAACAGAAAAACTGTAAGATTCTAAACTTAAATGATAAGCCCAATTTATCATTTGATTCACCATTTCTCATCGAGTTTTACCGGTTTCGGGGGGAATTCCACCCATCGTCATTAATTCTGAACAAGGTCAAATCGAAAAAACAAGAGTGTATATCATACAGGGGTGGAATCCCCCGAAACCGGTGTAACTCGATGACATATGATGACTTGAATAATAATTTGGCTCATATTTATCTTTAATTGAAGTATTGTTTCTAATAGATGGCGTGGTAATCTTTTTTTTCTCTATGTAACTAATATGAATCGTATATTTGTTCTATAGGTATCACGGCCATCTTGCTCGTTGTCACGGTATGTATCATATTTATCTTCGCCCACCCTCTTATCAGGCTAAAGGCGTACAAATACTTCTGGCTTACCCACAATTTGTACGTTGCTCTGTACATTCTCTGTCTGATACATGGCCTGGCGAGGCTAACTGGGGTAAGGAACTGTTTGTTAGTAGAACCTTGTAATTATACTAGTAGTAATTCAGCCCTTCAGAAACTTGTATGTATTTAAACGAAATGTTAATATTTTTTCTTTATTTTAAAACTTCGTGTTTTTTATTCAAGGTAATACAACAATTATACTCTTGCCTGTGCTTGACGTAACTCACTTATTTTGTTCTTTTTCAGAATTTCTAGTACAAACTAAAGGGATTTAGAAATTTTGGCAGTTTATAGAATTCGACTTCAACCAACGTTTCGCCATTGTGGTTTTATCAGGGCTAATAGTACAAGATCTGTTGTGAAAAACGGTTCTGATGAAGCCGCAATGGCGAAACGTTGGTTGAAATGAAACATTTTTTTTTTTTAACTTTATTGGCAAAAAAAAAAAACTCTATGAAATCATGTATTTTTCGTGTGTCTTTGTTGTCAGCTCTTCAGGTAGGGTATTGAAATTCATCCTAGATTGAATATTTCTTTCCATAGAGGTGGAAATTTGAATAACTTTACCACTGAAAGGCAAATACTGTGCCATAATTTGTGTAATTGCCAGTAATTTACATAAAAAAAATATAAGTCAGTGTTTAAAAGTTAACTTATAGATAGCTCTTGCACTATTAGCCATGACAAAACGTTACTAAAAAAAATAACTTGGACATTTATTTTTACCCGAACGTGAGAAAGAACTGGGTAAATGTTTTCTTCGATGTCTTCATTTATTTTGTGCTTTTTTATGTTCCATTTAATCCACTAACGTTAAAGAAACTCATAATTGTCAATTAAGAAAATACTGTTTATTTTATAACAGTTCGTATTTTTTTCCCCCCGAATTTTAATGAGAACTGTTCTAAGCTTAAAATAACAATCAGTTTCAGATTTAACCCTGTATAACTGATTGATAATTTGGAAAAATAATAAAAAAATACGGGACTTGGCATGGCTTGGTGATTAGGGCACTCAACTCGCAAATTGCGGGTCGCGGGTTCGAATCCCACCACTAAACATACTCGCTCCTTTTAGCCGTGGAAGCGTTATATGTGACGGTCAATCCCACTATTTGTTGGTAAAGATTAGCCGAAGAATTGGCGGTGGGTGTTGTTGACATTCTCTCTAGTCAATCACGACCAAGCTATGGATGCTTGTGCAGATATCCTTAAGGTATCTCTGCACGAAATTCAACAAACAAACAAATCTAAGAAACACCCACGGACAATAGGTAAGAGTATGGTCAGGTCAAATTTACAGGCTTCGTCGTAGGTAAGAGTATGGTCAGGTCAAATTTACAGGCTTCGTCGTAGGTAAGAGTATGGTCAGGTCAAATTTACAGGCTTCGTCGTAGGTAAGAGTATGGTCAGGTCAAATTTACAGGCTTCGTCGTAGGTAAGAGTATGGTCAGGTCA